TCAATCAACCAACAATTTTTATTGATTTTATAAGATCGATCAACGATGGGCTGACCTGAAAAAATGGCGACGAATAGAGCTAACAGAAAAGGTCATCATTTCAATATGCTAGCTTTTGGGAATTTCAAGCTGGGGTTCGAGAAAGAACGCTTTGAGAAAGTCATACATGGCTGCCTTGAGATGCCTTCCAGGTCATAGGCACTGAGTTGCAAGAAGACATTTTTAAATTTTGTTCCTTAATTTGGCGATTTGTATGATTTAAATTATGAATAATGGAAAAAGTTTTCAAATCAAGTAGTTTAAAATTAGTGTGTTATGTCCCGAAAAAAACCTCATTTTAGAAAATATATATAAATTAGTATTATGTGCTAGAGTGTAATTGTAATAAAGCACTGGATCCTCATTGCTTGTTGAATTGCTAATTATTTATATATATATATATATATATATATATATATATATATATATATATATATATATATATATAGATAGATAGATAGATAGATAGATAGATATAGATAGATAAACCTAGTGAGCCAGACAGACCTACCTGGGTTTCACCTAATCGGATCGTCAGGGAAAGCCGTCTAAACAGGAAACGTATATTTATAGACGATAGCCAAAATTATACCACGTGACCAAAGAAAGAAAACACAAAAATACCGGGGGTGGGGGGTTAAAGATTTATTCAACTAAAAGTGGAGGGGATATTAAAATACGAACATTAAGGTGGAATGCCAAATAAACGGGGAAATTCGTCTTAATTTAGTAACTAAGATTTTTATGCCTACATATATTAAGAATTTCGGTTTTGGAGTTTAATAGCTGGTTAGGTTGATTATATAAAGCTATGGCTAATTTCTCCTCTGTACATAATTTACAAAATTTGTGACCTGCTTTATATTTGGGCATTTTTTTTTTTTTTTTTTTTTGGCTATCGCCTATAAATATACATTTCCCTTTGCCTCTTTAGCCGGCTTTCCCTGACGATCCGTTTAAGTGAAACCTGGGTAGGTCTGTCTGGCTCACTAGGTTTATCTAGGTCTCCTCTTTTGTTAGTTAGTTGTTTAATCGTATCGGGGTTTTGTCTCTGGGCTTCAAACCTGCATCTGTACGATTTTTTTCGACAGACTTTCATGTTTCTAGTTCTTTCTTTTTTTAAAACCTTTTTTCCCCTCGAGATTGATTTGATTAGCAAATCAAAAATTCGAGGGTTTTTCGAAACGAGTATAGTTATCTCTCTCTCTCTCTATATATATATATATATATATATATATATATATATATATATATATATATATATATATCCTGTTAACAGCTCTTTTACTGTTACTAACTTTGACCTCAAAATAGATTTCAGATTTATGCCGACACATAAACCTCGATGGTTACTGTCGCCATTTTATGTTTTGCAGTTGAAAAATCGTGTTTAGCGGAGTTTCTGCGTATAGCTCGAGTTAGGTACAGGAGAGGTTCGGGAATTAGTCGATCGATAAAACACGAAAGCAGATACAACAACAAAAAGAAGATTATGAGAAAGATTAGCCAATAAGCTACGAGAATAATCGATCATCGATTCTGGTCCATGGAACAAGAGAAAAAGTAAAGAATGATCAATCATCAAAAAATTTTTTATTGATTTTATAAGATCGAGCAACGATGGACTGTCTGACAAAAATGGAGGCTAAGGGGCCAACAGAAAATGACGTACTCGCAATGGTCTGTTCCAAGGATTCAGTATGCTTGCTTTTGGGAACCTCTATCGTTTAAAGACATGGGGTTGAAAAGGGTTTTTTTTTTTGAGAAAGTCATGCATGACTATTTTGGAACGTCTTCAAACACAATTTCTTGCTAGAAGAAATCATTTATTTTTCCCTTTTAAATTTTGAAGACACAATGCATGGTTGTCAAAAGGCTCAGTCAAAAGAGTAAATTACAAACTGGGGATACCGAAATCAAACAAGTAAAACAATTTAGATATCTGGGAAGTATTTTAACGGAAGTCGGAAATTGCATCACTGAAATCCAAAGGCACATTGGGATTGAGAAAGATGACTTCTAAAAACTAAACGAATTCTAAAGAAAAAGAAAAAAAAAATGGTAGAAACAAAGAAATGAGTACTGGACTGTAAGGTCATATCAGCCCTCTTTCTGAAAAGAATGAAAACATCTTGAATTCAATGTAGTCATATATTATTGAATTAACTTTGAAGCATACACATCTTTATATATATATATATATATATATATATATATATATATATATATATATATATAAAAAAACTACTTTTAGCATTTTCTTTGAAGATATAACTTTTTTTTTAATATTGGTAAAACTTCACAGATAACCGCCGCTGCATTAGCACAGCGAACGATGCTTTCTAAAAGCTAACAAAAGTATTAACAAACATGAACATTTCGTTAGAACAAAAGAAAAGACTACTTAACTGTTATGTAAAACCAGTCTTCCTATATGGCAGTGAATGCTAGATAAACTACTACCAAATGAAGTAGAGATTTAAGCAAAAATAAATGTGGCTTTAGAGAAAGATGCTGATACTAGCATGAACTGAAGATGGGAGCAAGGATGGAGTTTTAAGGAAAATGGAAAAAATACACTTATAATTAACACCAGAAAGATAAAATTTAAATTTTTAGCAAACATTATGAGGAAAGAGGATTTTGAAAATTTGATATTCACAGGAGAGATTGAAGAGAAGAGGAACAGAAGAAAACAAAGCCTAACCTACCTAACGACTTTGTATAATTGAATGGAAGAAAAGGTTTTAGGATAGAAAACAAAGAGAAAATATTAAGTGCTACAAAAGATAAGAAGATTTGGAGAGCCATGATCCCCAACCTTCTGCTGGCGACAAAGAAATTCAAGGATAATTCCCAGATCGCTAGAAACTTACCCCTTTCAGCATTTAGTCGACATTTATCTATCCTATATAACTTCCTAATCTAGACTTACATCCTCATCTAACGTCCATAAAACATTATTCAGTAACCCTCTATCTTGAGTATCTAGCCAATGAAAAATTATTAAAAAAAAAATCCAAATTTTATATATGGGACGTAAAATATATGCTCAGTGTTTCACTGATGAATTCAATCAATCTATGATTTCCTATAAGTCAGTTAACTGGTAATTAAGTCCCGCAGGTCACATGCAGCCATTTTGGGTTTCTGTCGGGCACGCCTCATTTAATAAGGAAAATAACGTTTACTATTTTTTTTTTTTGATTCATTCTCACTTATTCACTCAAATTCGCTCTTACGAAAAGTAGAGGAGAGAATCCAGAGCCAAAGGGAAATGCCTATGAAATGTCGGAATAACGTCCCATACTTATAAATGACTATTGGGTTTTAAGGGCAGTTCGACTAAGCCATCTACATAAAAATGATTAAGTATAATATTCCTTGAATTTTGTAACTTTTTCTTTGTTGAATGTAATTTTCTCAGTATTTTAAACCATTGGCGATTTTCTTTAAGGAAGATCATACGTGCAAAATATGTGAAACGTTCGTATGAATGTTTTTCTCTGGCGTAGTAAAATTATTTTCTTTTAAAAATATATTTCCTTTTTAAAAAATAAATTGCATACAACAGCAAGTGTTAATCACAGTGTCATCAGACATAATATCGTACGAAATCTTCAATTTTTAAACTGTAGACAAAATCTTTTCTCCAAATAAAAAAATATCTACATTTTTTGCATTTCTAAGGCAAATAGTACGGCCATAATAAGAATTCTGAACAGTTCAATAAGATTAAATTGGTAGATGATCTAATAAACTAATTACGTTCTATTGTTAACAGTGACAAAGAACGGCTTGTTAATCTTAACACACCCAAAACGATTCTGCTTATCTATCATTCGCCAGAGAGAAACCTTTCTGTCTCTCCAGGCAGGAGAGGGTGACAGGTAAGTGCGTCTTCTTGGTCAATGAATGTTAAATGATTCCTTATAAAGAAATGATTAATATTACCATTTAAATTTTAAAGATGTGGTGAAGGGATACTAGTTATTGATCCCAGACCGATAGCCAGGGGACGTAGAAAAGCTTAACTCAATTAGAACTGACTTTTGGGTTAAATATAGCCGATGGTCTCTTTATACGGTGAGAGTTAACATCACCATTACCATTAGAGAAGCGGCGAACAGATGCTACACTGTAATCACAGACCGATAGCCAATGAGTGAAAAGAATGTTACTCGAGTAACACTGGCTTCTTGGTTGATGAATGCTAAATGTTTCCTTATAAGGAAACGGCTATTATTACTGCTATTATTAGAGATAAGGAGCACAGTTATTACATCTTGAAAGCAGACAAATGAACTAGGTCAGAAAAAAACCTTAACGAGAGTAGCACTGAATGCTTGGTCAAAAAACGCCGAATATATTATAAAAAGTTGGTTATTATTACCGATACATCCACAAAACAGACTAATATATATATATATATATATATATATATATATATATATATATGTGTGTGTGTGTGTGTGTGTGCGTGTGCGCGTGTATGTGTGTGTGTGAAATTATTTTCAGATAGCGTGTATCTGTATAGGAACAAATTGAATAAAAAGTCTAGAGGAAAACTATACGTAGCCGACTATCAGAGGACGCGTCCGCTACAAATAATTTTACATATGTCTTTATATATATATATATATATATATATATATATATATTTATATATATATATATATATACATATATACACACAAGATATTCAGCGTCGAAAAGTTTGGTTTGGTTTATTTTGTTTAAGGGCATATCAACATCAATGGGTTATTTAATGCCGACAGCATTTTTAGGATAGATTCAGATGAATAGCATATTTATTCTTTGGTTTAGATAGGTTTGGTTTAATTTTTTTTTCTACGGCATATCAACCTCAATTGGTTATTTAATGCCGACAACATTTTTAGGATAGATTCGTATGAATAGAATATCTATTCTTTGGTTTAGATTGGTTTTGTTTATTTTGT